CGAAAACTCCAAACGCTTCTTGCAAGTCATTAAATACAAACGGTTATATATCCGTGTTCAAAGATATATTTAGGACTTTTTCACTTATTTGGCAAATGATGAAATGCCTCAAGCTGGATGGCATTTGTTAACGTGCACTTTTCTCAGATGTTAATAAATTATTGTTTGTAATCGCTGAACTCGTTTGATAGCCGTTTGCTGACTCGTACGGCGAACAGTTGTGTATTTGATCCGAACATGCACTAGTTGCTCTAGTCGTAAATAAACATTGAATGATTTTCACAAGGTACTCACTTCAATTTGAACAGGCTTTGAAAAATTTGACCCCAAATACTGAACGGGCTACAAAAAAACAAAATGCCTTTTGGGGCTTTAAAAAGAAAGAGGAAAGCTATTATTTTTTTCCCGACCCGGTCATCCTCCTAAATAATGAACCGTCCCTTATATAAGGGAGTACCCCCCTGATCCTGACCCCTTTCATGATTGTTGGAGACCGAGACAAGGTCTACAAATGGGTGAAGAAAATAGCATTTTGATCCGGCTCATGATTCAGAGAACTGGGCAGCACACCTCCACCAAGAATTTATAGGAGTATTTACAACTTTAACTCATGTGTCTTGCTATTTAGCGATCTTTTGATCTTATTTTTCCTTACCTAGAACCAATTAGCACCGTTTCTACCAAAGTAGTCTGTATTCCGTATTTTATACCCAGTCCGCAGTCCGTATTTTATACCCAGTCCGTATTTTCCAGTCCGCGTTTTATACCTAGTCCGTATTTTATACCCAGTCCGCAGTCCGTAGTCCGCACTCCGCAGTCCATGTTTTATACTGACCGTAAACGTGACTATCAAATTGACCTCAAATCGTTTCCAGTCAGATAATCCACACAAAATTTCAACATTTATGATTTAGAAATGAATAATCTGAACCAAATAAGAAATTGTTCTTAACAGAAAACATCACACAGTACCTACTGAAATTTTGACGCTGTTTTAAATCCAACAGCACTAAGTATTAAAAGCAAAATATCCTCTAGAGAAATTTTTTACCACCACATAATTATGCATGGAATACCGTAGAAAAATGTACTCAACGGGACTCTTGAAGTGGCGCTTACCTTAATGTTTTCGTTCCTGTGTGGAACAAACTGTTGAGGTCGCCAGATGGCTTGCTCTTGCATTTTCTTCGCCATTGTAGAATTCATTATAACATAAAATCTTCCAGACACTATTCTTGTGGGTAGACCTGTTTGTGTTTTGGTGGTAGCCATTGTAGTTATAACATGACGTACCAACCTTATATTATGCAAATACCGCTGTGCGAAAAAAGAAAAAACGCGGGAAGCGGGAAGCGGAGTCATGACATTTTCGAGGTTGAGGGATTTTTTTTTTGTAACATAGCGAAACTGGAATTTTTTTCACCCACTTTCAGATTATTTTGAATAAACAAAAATACCTCATTTGAATTAAAGGCCGTCCCCCACCTCCCACCCCTTCAAAAAACCAACGTTGGGCAGCACTGAGTTGAAGCTCTTATGTTTTGGCAAAAGTCTTCGTCACAAGCTAGGTGCGCCTGAATTTTTCGTTTGCAGGTATTTTTCTCTTTAATACTGTGATCCGTTCCTTGTTACGTTGTTTATGTATCAATGTCTACTACGTCTTGAATCGGAATCCCAGTCCCTAAACGCTTCTGCACCCGATATTTTGTGTAAAGTGAAGTAAAGTGTAGCAGTTCATGTTTTTACAATGACCTATGCCTTTGAGATGACCCCTTGTCAGTGTAAATGTTTTGCGTGTGTTAAATATAAACTTCCAACAACACTTGCACGTCAACGGTAGGTGCAATAGAGAGGAGACGTGTGACGTCACGTTACCATGGTAGCAAAATTTTTGGATCTTAAAAATCTAGATGCCACCATGGCAACAACTTTAGTTTTATTGGGAAAAGGTTAGGAGTTGACTGCTTAATAGAATCAATTGACCCTTAAACTCTTTGACTTGTCATGGCGTGTTCAGTATTGTTGGTTCTCACATGACGTCACTAAAGATTTGAACTACAATCGATCCCACTGAGATTAAGCCTGCGAAAACAGCCGTTTTCTCCTCGCTCTTCGCCGCGAGGAGGAACGTCTACGACTTAGCGACAGAAATTCCATACTGATGACGTAAAATCTGTCCGGAATCCGGTCATAAGCGCTGATTGGACGACGAAGTAGTTACATTGTTTTAGCTATTGTTTACGAATGACAGACAAAAGACAAAGGGCCACAAAGTCAAATGTAAACGCGATGACTCTAAACAAAACAGTCAATATTAGTGGAATATATTCTTCTCTAGAAGAAGCATTTGAGTTTTGCTGGAGCTCGTTCGCAGAACACAACACTTTACCAAATATATTATACAATCATTGATTTACGTCATCAGAATGGAATTTCTGTGGCTGAGTCCCAGACGTTCCACTCCTGGAAACGTTCCCAGCGGCGAGGAGCAAGGTAAAAAGGCTGTTTTCGCAGGCCAACTGAGACTTTACTTTCATGATGTATTAGAGTAGCTGAAAACTAATTTTTATACAAATTTTCACTACGAATGGGTTCTTGGTTTTGTGATAGAGTAAGCTTGAATTTCTAAGCTTTTGCGTGACGCGGCATTTACATGAGAGCCGATAGTTGTCATGTAGGTTAGAAAAGCGATTTTTTTCGGTATTCATGTACTGGAGAAAGTATTCCTTTAATGTTTGTGACTTCTTCGAGAGATAAATTCACGCTTTTGAAGCAAAACTCGGTGACAGATGTTTCTGTTGGTTTCCGGCCGCCATGTTGGTGCCCATCCGGATGGGCGTGTCTCTCTCTCATGCGCCTGTCTTGCTTGCGCCCACTACTTCCAAGCGCCTGCTACGCAGGCTAAACATTTTCTCCGGATATCTCGTATACGAAAGATTGCTCTAACTTGATCTTGGTGAGGGTCTTTGTATATTTACCTCCTTTTATTTCCCAGATTCTGGACTTTATGTATTGAACGGTTTTGCTTTTTATTTTGATGGATTTTGAACGGCATGGCACTGAAAACCAGCAACTTTTCACTTTCAATAGAGACCTTTAGATTCGAGGACGAGAATGACTTCGAGTACGACATCACAATTGAAGACGAGAATGAACTGGTAGAAAGAGAGGTTTTCCCACAGTTAACGAGTGAATCCTTCGACAATGACGACAAACTTACCTTGAAAAGCTTCTTTGCCTTTTGCAGTGTTGTTTTTTTTTTACGAGGACAAACGGAGGAAAGATGGAAAGGACTTCTAGACAGACACAGTGTCCGGTTTCCAAAATACTCCAGCGTTACATTAAAGAGCTAAAACTTACAGTTCTCTTAGTTTTGACCGAATAAACTTTGTCAACGTGGCGAATTTCTTTTTACTTTCTCGGAAAGCCTTTGTTATGTGCTATTATTTTCGTGCGCCAATAAAAACTTTCTGACTGTCAAATCGTGCGTCCTGCACTTGTTTCCGGTCCCCCAAACAGGAAGAAGCTATATAATAAACATCTTATTAGCCTCGTTTTTTCGGTCCGTACTGTAAATTACGGATCCTCGTTTTTTTCCATAAAAAAACTCGGTCCGTAATTTACAGTACGGACCGAAAACTCGGCTAATAAGAGGTATTTAATTCTCAATAAAAAATATACACCCTGTAAACTAAGCTTCATTGTACTTTTTTATTACCAGAAAGGCTAGCACGGTGATTCATGTTTCCGTTACTACGACATTAGTGAGTTTAGGCCACTGGAAGGCAGAAAGAAGACGACGATAAAACGTTTTTGCCGTCGTCTTTCCTCTCCCGTCATGTTGCGTAAACCCACCATTCTCGCAAAAACTCGTATTAGAATGACGCTGGCTCTCACGTTTTCCCGCCAAATTGATCCTTGAGGAAATCTTGTCCTTGTAGTTTCCATCGTCTTAAAATCTAAAGGTCTTCACTATCAGTGGACAAAATCCAATTGTGTTACCATTGAAATGAAAGATCATGTACATGTTGGGCAGAATTTTTTCAAAGTATCATCTGTAGGGGTTTTTTGTAAGTAACAATTAATTTAGAAATTCACAGACAATAAATTAACATTTTAAAATTCAAACATAGATACATTTGTTTATCTGCGAATTTTTAAATCATTACTTCTAAAACTGAATTCAAAGTAAAATTGTTAATGTTTTGGGTTGACTTCCGTGGATAGGTTAAAATATTTTGATCAAAGCGTGTCAAGTTATTACACTGTTTTCATAATTAAAAGAAGGCCTGATCCTATCAATCAATTGACCAAGCTGATTTCATGGTCGTGTGAATCTAACGGGTGCAGTTTGCAATGGTTTACTAACCTTATTTACTAAAAGAAACAGTGGAAAAATGAAAACAACGAGCTATCATTTTCTCAATAATTAGTGATTCTCCAAATAACTGGAACCTTGTTCCTAACTTGGAACCACACTGACTTAATTTGGAAATATTTTCAATTCATCTTAAATTCCTACGAAAAATGTACATGTACAATAGTTGGTACAGTTTATCACGGTAATGAAAGAGTTTATTTGTCGTTACTTTTGCTTTAAAGTTTGTTCATCTGATGTACTATGTATAAGTTCATAATACATCATACGTATATCATGTTTTGCCATATTTACCATGGATGTATTACCTACTGTAATGTCGGAACAAAAAAAAAGACATCATTTAAAAACCTTAAAGTTTTGTAAACGTTTTCATATTAGCTGAAGTTAATATTTCGAAGCTCAGAAACTAATAAGGAAAAAATGCGTGTATATAGTTTTACAAACGCTCTGGAATTGGGGACTTCAATCGCCTCATATTTTTTTGCTTACTTTTATATTTACCAGTTATTCAGCTGCCGTTGGAGGATAATTAGCGAAGCTCGTGGGGAAGGTTATCAGATACCCTAAGCATTTTGTGCGAGCACAATCTCAGCCCCAGATAACTTTTTTTTCTTTCAGGCTATTTCAAAATGAGAATTGCTCTCGCGATTGAAATTTTTCTTCTGGCCATTTGTCCATTTTCTGTGGCGAAGAATAACCTTGAACAGGCAAAACACGAATTCACAAATCTACGAGGTGATTTAGCGGGCCCAAAAAGGACGAGTGATATTTTGTTTCTTTTGGACACCTCCGGAAGCTTATCCTCATCGGACTTCAACGTTGAAAAGAAATTCGTCACGAACTTTCTAAACATGATAACAGTAAGTATTGAAGCAGCCAGAGTAGAGGTCATACCTTTTGGTGATAAAGCAAGCCGATACATAGACGGAGTCTCGAGTCCCTCCTCGGTCAAGCACAAGTGTCATCTGAACGATAGACTAAAAAATATGTCTCAGAGCATCAATGGTTGGCTGACGAATACGAAGGACGCCTTTAAGCTGGCCTACGATGTCTGCCTTGGGGCATTAAGCGCTTACAAACGACCCTACTCCTTTGATATGAGAACAGTTGTTATCCTCATAACGGACGGCTATGCGACTGTTCCATTTAACGATCCAAACCCTGTCAGTGATGCCCGGAGACTCTATGAATCGGGGAAGGTGGAGGTCTTTGCAATTGGTGTCGGATACGTGGGCGTGTCCTACATTCGAAGTTTGGTGAAAGATCCAGCTAAACAAGCATTTCATTTGCAAAACTTTAACCAGCTACAGGAGTTGTCTCTCGTCCTTAAGGGAGGTAAGTAGAATGAAAGATAAATTTCCAGTTTACCTCATAACAAGCATGAAATGCTTCCCGCGAGAGCCATATTATGGCTCTTGTTCCCGGTGATAGAACTGTAAATAAGTACTCAGTACAGAGTGAAATATTTGTAATATATGTGTAAGATCAATTATTGTATCTCTGTCCGTTAATTATCTATTTCACTGATACCATTTCAATGAATTTCAATAGATCTTTTGTTACCTTCAGGGAGACTACTTGTAAAAGCCCGTAAGTGTTTCTTTAGTCTTCCTCCCAAATTTATTACATTGTAACACACCGTATGTACTGTATAATATTATGGGAAATAATAAACTCAACTCAACTCAACAATTATTCCCAGGGGTACGCAACGACAGTTTTCTCCAGTTTTTCTCTCAGCCTTTTTAGGCTATTCAGAGCTATTCAGAGTACTTTTAGATCTCCAGAAAAGCATTCTAAGCGGCGCTATAAAATTTGTATCTGTTTGGTCACCCTAGAGAAACTTGAGGCTTTTCGAAATTTTGAGAGCTTCAGTATCATTTTCCCGAAAAATTCTAGATACAATTTAACGTTTTACGAAAGTGAAAATTGTTCTAACTCCCTTCTCCGTCAAATTTTTGACTCCGAAAATTTTAGGTTTCCTTTTTTTACGAAAAATAGCCTATCCTGGGGAGTGAAATTTGCAAAATTAAACTTTAGAAAATCCTAGGAAATTTATTAGATGATAAGCTTCGAAAATTGTACATGAATGGAACAGTCATAGCCGTTCTCAAGTACTAGAAATTTCCAGGCAATATTTGTCTCGCCGAACAGATATTTTACCGAAACTAGTCGTTGGGTGCTCCTGAATTCTTAGAGAAGAGAAAATTATAGCTATCGATCACGCTGTCAGTACAGCAGACCGGGGTTCCAAACTAAAAACTAGAAAAGGAACTAATACGTCACGCAAATATGAAGAGTTGCTACCAACAGGTTAAAATAATCATTGAAATACTACGGCCCTGAAACGGAAAACACACGTAAAACCCAAAAGGAAACAAAAACGGGCAAAATTGTAGAAGATCTTAAAACTTAATTTAGTATTCCCTTTAATATCTTAATGGAAATTTTACGGCTTTTTAAATGATTTCCAAAGGGGAAACTTAACCTTCAACTTTGGCATGATCTATTATATAATTATCTGTGAGTGTCGCATTGACTTTCCTGCAGGTTTCCCCTGAAGTGCAGGCTAAACTATTTTACTTTGGTTTTACTTTAACACCAGCAACTAGAGAGCAGACACTTGAGCTTTGGGCGCTCGAGGCTTGGGTGCGTCTATGTTTTTCAAGGAGGGCGCCTTGTAAAAACGATTTTGAGGACAAAAAAAACCGACAAATCGTTTTGCAATCCATAGAGACTAAGCTATATGGACTTTTTCTGTCTTTACTTTTTCCAGATCCGAGTCCAAGTGGCTCATCATATCAGCCTGCACACTCCCAAAATTGTTATTACACGTGCGACTTAAAAGCAACATGTGTCTGTGACGCACTATTCGGGACTCACAGATGCTGGTGTCTGGAAGGATACGTGGGATCCGGACACACAGGAAAATGTCGCAGTAAGTTTACAACCAACAGTATGAATAAAAATTAGATACAAATATTGAAAGATTTTTTTGGGGGGAGGGAGGGGTTGTGTATGATAGGCCCGTTGATCATTTGCCTCACAAAAGGTTAGTCACCTCGTTACATTGCGACAAGGGAGGACAGCCAGAAACTGTTGTGGCCACGTGTCGACCGCAGCATGGTCTTCATCATGGTGACGATTATCAGAGCGATCGGCGCATTCGATCAGAATCATTATTAAAATTAAAGAATGACATTTATTGATTATATTATGTGGGCTGCTGAAAGGCTATCGTTCTAAAAATATCGAGAACTTATCGGAACTTTTTGGAAAAAAAATTTAAAAAAGGATTACATTAACTAATCCTTCTTACAGAACAGGTCAGTAAACTCACAAATTTTATATCAATTTCTAAATAAATTTTTTTAGACCGGGCTGGTTAATATAACGTGATGCTATGGTGGAAAACCGGCGTGGTTAAGAATTCAAGTTGGTTCCAACTATCTCAGGTCGAATCTGTTGTTTAAAGATTGACAATTGATCACAATCGATACAAAAATCAAATTTTACTGATATTTACATAACATTTTTCTCAATTCCTATGCCTATGAGCGGAGCTTCCTTATAAAAGAAGGCCTCGGTAAAACGAGCGATATTCTTCGCCCCATTATGAATAGTAAAACATGAAAAGAAAAGAACTTGATATAACGAAACTTCTCATTAACGAACATAATTTACCAATCCATTATCCCTTCGTTTTAGCAAGGTTTAAAGAATTAGGGACCATGCTTTACCTTTTTAACTCCCTGACTAGATTTATTTTATTGTTGTACAGAAATCGAAGACAAGAAAACAAAGTGAACAATTGGCTGACGCCTCAGGATAGAGTACAGCCGAGGAAACTCTATTTGTTTGTATTAACTGAGAGTAGTTAAATGCTAGTAATGGAAATGGAACAAACATGAACAAAACAAGCTTTAATTTAACTCGAATAAACCTATCTTATGAGTGTCACTATCTGGGCGATGCAAAATACCGAATAGGAAGCATGTAGCGTGTGTGGCCAACCTTTCGTCTCACGTGAGGGAATCCAAGACAGTCCTGGATTCTGGATTTGAAGCCTTTGGATTCCGGATTCCGCGCAGTGGATTCCAGTCTTTGTAAGTGAAAATTGTATTCTGGATTCCAAACTTAAGTGGGAATTCTGGATTTCTTGAGCTGTATTCCGGATAACAATGCCAAGGATTCCGGATTCCACAAGCCAAAATTTCCCGAATTCCGCAAACTGGATTCCCTTACATGGGGTGAAACCTTTCAATGGGCTGGGGGAGGAGGGGCAGGGGAAGGGGGACATAAAGGGGTTGCTTTTTATTGGGCGGCAAGAGGCCTGTTTCTTCCCTTATCACCAAGTAGCATAATTTATGTTCAGAGTTCCGTGCTACCCGTTTACAATCCTTTTCCGAGGTGGTCGCTTACGAGAGCTGTATAAATGAATTCGACGGCCGTCATAGACATTGCCTTTTATTAAATATGTGTATGCTAATAAAAACAACAACAACTTTATTGACTTTATCTTCGACATGAATATTTCAGTACCAAAACAATGACAAATGAAAAAAGTAAAATAAAAGTAAAGTAAGAAAAAAAGGAACAATTAAATATTATCATAAAAGAAAAATTACTTGGCCATGTACGGCTTCTACGCTACTCGTATGGTAAGAAAGTTTAATTAGAGTTTGGATGCATAACAATTTAGAATATTTTCAATATAAGAGGCACTGAGATTTATGCTTTCATCGTACACAGACATGATTAAAATACTACTTTGCAAGACATGTTCGTAAAATTACTGTTTATCGACAAGAGCCATTTTATTATTATTGCGTCCTATTATGGCTCTTGTTATCGAGTATAGGCTCTCCAAGAAGATACCCCTTATATGAGAATGTGATGAGTGGGTACATTTCAACAAATAGTGGAATTCATCACCAATTTCGGATCTATAACAAGGGGGCAAAGCCTCTCAACTCTGGGTATCTTCTTATAGCGCCCAGATTCAATAGATAGCAAGTGGCAAGAAATTCGCATTTTGGTTTCTACCACTCTTGTCTTAATGTTATTTATTAAATCAAGATAAGATTCAAACTGACTTCGTTTTCACTTCACTATACAGACTTAATTTATTGCCAACTGAGGAGTCGAATTTATCCTTGTTCAGACTTTTCGACCAATATTCCTGGTATTCTTTAAACAAATTTCTTTTAAACATTCTAACCAGGCGAGGAAATGTCCTGTAGTCAAGATAGATAAAAAAATCAATAGGCTCTAAGATGGCTCGACTAGCATGGATTTGTCAGGGCCAAGTTCAGCATTAACTGCGCCGCCAGAAATTTTCATGTAAAGGAAAAGATTACTACCTTTGACAGCTTTACCAGACAAAGATGGAAAGTTGTTTGAGCGCTGTCATGTTGACGCTGACAGGGTAGGAGGGAAGAAAGAAAATCACGAAAGAAGGAAAAGGAGTGCCCGCAATATATAAGAACTGGTATATTGAACCGGTATGTTCACTTGTTGTCCTATCAATTCCTATGACGTCATCGATGTTCACGTATTCCTGCCCTCGTTAATGAGATTGCTGCCCAAAAAAGTTAACTTGGTGCGCCCTATACTACGTTTCAAACGCTGGTAAACAACTTGAAACGCCAGCTTTCGACAAGGTAAGAATTGGCTTTTTANTATGTTCACTTGTTGTCCTATCAATTCCTATGACGTCATCGATGTTCACGTATTCCTGCCCTCGTTAATGAGATTGCTGCCCAAAAAAGTTAACTTGGTGCGCCCTATACTACGTTTCAAACGCTGGTAAATAACTTGAAACGCCAGCTTTCGACAAGGTAAGAATTGGCTTTTTATAAAATCATCTAAAAGTAGAAATGACCATCAGCGATGCGAATTATCCGACCATATTTGTCAATATATAAACTCAGAAATTAAAAATCAATAAATAAATTTCCAGTTTTGTACATGTGCTTCATCCCCCCCCCCCTTCCCCCTTCACCCTTCACCGACGCAATACCGCAGTTTCCTTTCTGACTTACCCCTTCATTAAATTATCAGATTTTTTCTTTCTCTTTGTGAAAGACGACTTTAATGTTTTTTCTTAAGTATTTCAGTCCTCTTCGCTCAATTAGGACAAATTTCTATTAACGTATCACTTAATATATATAACCGATTTTTTGAAAAGCAAGCTAACGAAATTTACAGTCATTAAAGTGAAAACCGCGTCAAAAAACAGGTTTGTTAAGCCTGAGAAGCTCCAAAATCACAGTAACAAAGGAAAAGGAAAGGAGAAAAAGAAAGAGCGTGGAGAAGGAAAGGAGGAGAAGAGAGAAAAGCAATAGTTACAGTCTTACTTTGAGAAAGAAAAGAAAAGAGAAAAGAAAGAAAACTGTTGCAGGGGCGGATCCCCCCCTGAGATGACCTGCGGTTTTCTAATACAACCTGACAACTGGTATTCTGCAAAAAAAAAAAAATGTGGTTTATTGGTGTTGAAGAAGAGCAAGAGACGAGTGCACCCCCTCCTAAAAAAAATCCTGGACCCGCCCCTGCGTTGGACGCAAAAGGTCCATTTGGCGATACCGTTTTCAAAAATCCGAATCAAAAATCGAATCAAAAATCCTAGATATGTATCAATGCAAAAGCGTGGCTTATAGTAGCAAGCATATAATAGCATCCACTACATAGAAGCTAACACCAAAAAAAAACTATGTGAATTTTTAATCAAGGTTCAATATGATACTACCGGAAAGCAAATGTTATTTTGGTAGAGCAAAACAAATCTCGAGGGTTTTCCGCAATAAAAATAACTGAGGTGCTCGTTTCAAATTTTCGAAAACACTTACTTAATCTTAGCTTGTGGGCGTAACTCGGATTAATTTTCAACTCTCGATATCTGCAGTACAATTGATGTTAACTGTATTGATATCGGTGCATTGATGTCAGGTTAACTGTATTGATATGAAGAATTTACACGGGGATTTAAGCCAAAAACGGGGAATTGGTAGTAAACGGCTTGCAACAGGAAGCCCTGGGAACGATGTTGACAACAGCAAACAGTTTCGGTACTTAAATATAGTTTTAAACTATTATTTTCGAATCGTTTCTCACGTCTGCTAGTTAGCGGCTGTCTATAAAGCCTTCAGCACCTGAAGTCAAGCCCGCGATATTATATTCGTGTCCCAAACCAATAAAACGACGGCCGTGTTGGTGTCCCAAACCAGTCCTCCTTTCTCTTTTTTACGCTTTCTTTTCTACTTAGTTACTGGCCACGTAAGTGAAAACGTGCTATTGAGGGTGAACAGGCACAAAATATTTTGCACCCCCAACCCCCCTACCCCTACCCCTCCTTACCGGCTTGGGTCAGTGTGGTAGTGAGTGGTAGTGTAGTCGTAAGGCCGAAAGAGATTAGGTTTCGAAAGGTCCGGGTTCGAGGTAAGGGTTTTGCCCTGGGTTGCGGTTGCGGCTTCTGGCGTTCCCTTTACAAAAACAGCCTCAAAGAAACAAGCACGCAGTTTTTCAACAAGCTTCATCATACTTTATTGTTAAGAAATACAACAACTAAAATGCGACCAAAAATACAATTACACCATAGCCAGACACGTAAACCCCGAAAACCAAGTTAATTTGGAAAAATAGGGACCGACTACCCCCAAACAGTGCTATGGTGACTTCTTTGGAGTTTTAAGGCCTACTGTATATAAACGCGGAAAAAAAATAAAGTTAAGGTATATAAATGAATATTTTGCTAGGCTGAAAGTAGAGAGAAAACAAAAAGAAAAAATTATTCTAGGGGTGGATAGTCGGCGATGCTGTGCTCTAGAATAGCGCAATTTGAATATTTGTCGCCGTTTTAAAGTGCTCCAGCAATGATATTAATTAAGGCGCTTTCGCTCGCAATACAGATATTAAATTATTGTTTATTGGATCAATGTAAAGGGTGAAAGCTATGAATCCCTGCCTTTCACTAAGCAGACTGACGTTATGAAGTTTTTTTTTTGGAGACAAATTCAGATCAGGCCAAAAACTCGCTCGGAACCTCCGAAAATCTTCATGCATTAGAAGGTTATGGCAATTTATGTTACATGTTAAGCTATAAAATCAGCGTTTGTGGCATTAATTAAGAAGAATTCAGAAGTTCCAAGTTACTCTCTTATTTTCATAGCCGAATTGATAAATTCAACATTACACTAACTGCATGCAAAAACTTCCATTTGTAAAATCAAGCTTTCTTCCTTTACATAATGGCTCCTACATTTGCTATATATTTCAAGTTCATTTATCATGAAACTGATAATGAAAACAACAAAAAACGGCCTCTTTTTATGGTCTTGGGTTAACTCTTTCACTCTAAAAAGCGTCTTACAGGAGCGAATCTTAAGGGGGAGGGTGCAGGGGTTGCACAACCCCGATCCTGAGATGACCTGTGGCTTTCTAACACAGTTATATACAAAATCTGCAGTATCGTTTGATATGTATTTTCAGCAGTTCGCATTATGTTATTGCCTAGTCAAAAGCCTTCTTCGATTCTTCGTATTCGCTTTACAAAATTTGTTTATGTCACCAGTCAGTTACGCCATTGCTTAGTGGTGCACCCGCTTCCTGACAAAAATCCTGGATCCGCTCCTGTCTTAAGAACTACACTTCATAAATATCTATTTACTCTCCTTACGTCGTAAAATCCTCAATGTAGAAAAAGGTGTTGCTTAAACATGAATAACAGTTTTATTTGTATGTGACCTCACAGGATTTGCTACTTAAAGTTTAAGGTAAGAGCTATAATTCTTTTTTCTTAAGGCTTTGAAAGAGTTCGATCATTTTGTATATAGACCGCGTTAAACCCGAGTTATCGATTTCTTGAAGATATTATAGCCTTTCAGGCTACTCTGAATTTCGAGTTTAAATAAAGTTCATCTTCAGTATAGAGACCCAA